TGCTTCTGCCAGATGTTACTGCTGCAGCCCCACATATCGATTGGTTATTCTTTTTAATGGTTGGATGTTCATCCCTAGAGATTCTAGCTAGAGATAAGTTAGCAGACTATAGCAAAAAGTTCTTTGCTAGACTTGGCTTTATTAATGCTTTTTGGCTCCTTGATGTTGATGGACTACAGTTTAAGAAGCATAAGCCTCATCTTTTGTTTCATGCAATAAGGTGGTTCAGCCTATTGTGGCTGTTTTGGTTGTGTTGCTTCCACATGTTGTTCAGGAACCCTTTCTTCCTGGGGCAGGTCCAGGACTTGGCTGCTCGAATTGATCTTTTCTCCATCTCTGCATCTCAACTGCCTTTACAATTTTGTCAATTTCCACCTTAGTGAGCCATCCTCTTTTCCTAATGTCCTCTCAGGCATCAACTATTGTAATTAAATTTACATTTTGTTCTCAAAACCAAATGTTCTCTGAACCAACTGATCTCTGAATCCTCATGACAATCATATATTTGCAACAGGTTTTCTTGTATGTATTAATGTAAATGCATAAATGGATTAGCCATAACATTTAAAGCCACCTTCTTGTTTCTATACTCATTGACCATTTTGTCCATACCATATAGGTGCACTTTGTAGTTCTGCAGTTACAGACTAATCCATTTGTTGCTCTGTGTAGTTTGTTAGCCCCCTTTTACCCTGTTCTTCAATAGTCAGACTCCCACAGGACCACTTCAGAGCAGGTATTATCTGGGTGATGAATCATTCTGAGCTCTGCAGTGACACTGAAATGGTGGTGGTGGTAGTGTCTTAGTGTGTTTTGTGCTGGTATGAGTGGATCAGACAAGCAGTACTGCTGGAATTTTTAAACACTTCAGTGTCACTGCTGGACTGAGAATTGTCCACCAGCCAAAATTATCCAGCCAACAGCATCCTGTGGGCATTATCCTGAGACCACTGATGAAGGACAAAAGGATGACAAATACCAACTGTACAGCAACAAATGCACCACTGTCTCTGACTTTACATCTAAAAGAGGACCAGGAAGGTAGGTATGTCTAATAGAGTGGACAGTCAGTGGACACAGTGTTAAAAACTCAAGCAGCACTGTATATATTTTTATATATGAAAAATATAATTTTTGCTCAAATAAGCTGTGAAATAGTGTTCTGTCACATTAAGTGACTTGATGAAGAATGACAGCATTAGGCTTCTGAGAAGCAAGGACTGAAGGCAGGTAAGTTCTGCTTTTGTTCATCATTCATCAAAATCTGTTGTTAGCTCTCCCCTAAACTGATCATCCTACTCTATTGAAGGCAGAATCCAGTCCAATTACAGAAAAAAATATTATATATAGAATATAGACCAGTCACAGTTAGTTTTTGGTAACCAGTGGTGCAGCACTGTTAAATTCTTCACCTGGTTCCATTTGATAGGCACATATTTCATAACTTACATCTACAGAGTCAAAAGGGCTAATTATCAGAATCAGAATCACTTTATTTCAGGTATTTTACACATGCAAGAAATTTGTCTTGGTGAGCACACACATGTATGGCATGTAACATACTAAACAGACCAGGCAAGCAAACAGTGTAACAAGTGTATAACTAAGGGAAAGCTAAAATAAAAATACATTAAATACAATGACAAATTAAGAGTAATGAATAATGAACCATGGAGAGGTGCTAAAAAATTGTGTGAATATCTGCACATTATGCATATAAGAATATCTATTCATATGCAGGTCTGATGACGTACTACAAAAGTTGCTATGTACAGAATACTACAAAGTGATACAAATGTTTGCAGAAGTTTTAACATCTGCATAGTTGTAAGCATTATGTTACACAGGCGTTACACTGTAATACAGTAAGGGAGGTTTATTGGTTTAGTTTAAGTGCGAGGTGTCCATTGTGGTTAATAAGCGCTACAGGTCTGGGGGAAAAAGCTATTAGCATGTTTGGCTGTGCTATTTTTGGCTCAGAATCTTCTACCAGAGTGGAGTGGCTGGAAGGGGTGATGTCAGAGATGAGAGGGATCAGCTGTAATCTTGCCAGGACACTTCATCACCCTGCTTTTGTAGATGTCCTGAAGCGTTGACAGAATGCATCCAATGATCCTCCCCACTGTCCTGTTTATGCACTGGAGTTTGTCATGTTCTTGTGAGCCATTGATGATGGGAGGGGTGTTGTGCCTGAAATTCACCACCATCTCAACTATCTTCTCTGTGCTGAGCAGCAGGTGCTTGCTGCCGTACCAGGACAACAGCTGCTTGACTTCCTTTTTTGTAGGCAGACTCATCACCATTGGCTGTGCGGCCCACTACAGTGATGTCATCTGCAAATTTCAGGATTTTCACAGCTGGTTCCTTAGAGACAGAGTCATTGGTATAGAGACTAAAGAGAAGAGAAGTTAGTTAAGAAGTCCATGATCCAGTGGTAGATAGGATCTGGCAGAAAAATCTGAAGAATGTCTTTTGTGCTTTCATATCTGCAGTAAAACTCATCGAGGTCGTTAGTGAGCTGGCAGTCATTGAGGAGAAGGAGAGTTTTTCTCACCTAGCTGGTGATCTCTTACTTTCTAACCTGAAGTTGGGTCATTAGCAGCAATGTGGCTTTTCAGTTTTTCTGAGTATTTCTTCTTCGCTGCTTTAATCCATTTCTCCAGCTTGTATTTAGCCTCTTTGTAGAGAATTTTGTCCCCAGTTATGAATGCTGCCTCCTTTTCCCTCCAAAGCTGTTGGAGCTCTGCTGAAAACCATGATTAATTGTTGTATTTTACCTGTGCTGTAGTGCTGTAGTTGAAATGCAGCTGTCCTCACAGAAACTGACATATGACATCACGTTGTCCATATGTTCTTCTAGCCCACGTGTCAGGCTTCAGTCCTTGCAGACAGAACAATGCAGACTTCAGCACACTGCCTCATTAAACACACCTGATTCAGCTCATCAACTAATTCGCAAGGCCTTCATGAACTGAATTATAAGCATTAGATAGGGTAAACACTAATCTCTGCAGCACTTTGGTCTGGAATGTCCCCAGTTTGACATGACTTGTCTAGGCTCTCTGTCTCTTTTTCAAAAACAATCCAGCTTGTGGATTCAAAGCAGCCCTGTAGCTTTTCAGCTGGTCTGCCTCTTGATTGTTGTGATGACAGGCTTGTTGGTTTTGAGTACTTTCTGTTGGGATGAAGTGAATGAGTCTGGGCATTCTTGGGCATTTCTTTTCTTAGATTTGTACTGTTAAAGTCTCCCTGAATAATGAGCAGTGAGTGTGAATTCACTCTACTTTCGTGTAATGGCCAGCAGTTTCTGCGCGCGTCCGGTGGAATGTAAACAGCGACCAGAATAAAAGACAAAAACACTCTGGGAGAGTGGAATGGTTTACAGTTTATGAAAAGTGACTTAAGATAAAGAGTGCATGATTTTAACATTACTCTGACGTGTTTACACCAGCGTTTGTTGATAGAGAAGCAGATTCCTCCTCCCCTGGTTGTGCCGGTGAACTCCACATCTCTGTCTGCTCTGGGCAGCCGGAAGCTGGGCAGGTGCTGCGCGCTGTTCTGTGCTTTCTGAGCATGCAGCTCAGAATGCCAAATCTCTGTGAAGCAGAGGGCTGGTGCTGTAGAAAAGTCCTTATTGGTTTTGTTGAATAGCAGTAGTTCTAATTTGTTGTGTAAAGATTGCAGTTTGGAGAGGAATAAAGACACTAAAGGTGTACGAAACCCATGTCATCTCAGCATTGCGAGTGTGCCAGCCCTTCTGCCTCTCTTTCGCCTTCTAGCCAGGTTGAGCAGAGCCAGTGCTTTCCAAGAACTCCGAAGGGTTTTAAATAAACTCCGGAATAATATCAGGAGAAACATTGTCCCTGAAGGTCAGTAACTGTTGCTCCAACGGACTGAGTTTGACGCACAATAGATGACTATTGAATATTAACAAACAAAAACAATCACAGCTCTTACTGTGGCTGCCATCCTCGGTGCCATCCTGAAATCGTTATAGCCTTTTGTATAGCCTTCTTTTAGCATTGGTTACTGTTCAGTTTGAAAGTTAGACAGAACTGCATTCATTTTGTCTGTTTTGTAAGCTATCTTGTAAAGAACTAAACTAAAGAAGTTCTTATTGGTCATGTTTATATTACTTATCATTTTTTTGGTATATTACGTTTGTGCATCCCAGAAGTGATTTGTCTTTCACAGACGTATACATTCGTAAGATGATTGTTTTTATTTTCTTCTGTTTGCAATCAAAATATCAAACCTTTTCTGCAGCTGTGGCACATTTAGAGGAAAAAAAAAGTCAGAAAGAAAGATTAAAAAAAAAAAAAAATGTAAAACGGCAACCTTCTAAAGTCCATTTCGCACCAGACACAGTGCTGCGTGCAGTATGCTCCTATATTAATCAATGTAGTCTTTCAAAGCGGCCACGCGCGTTTCCGCCGTGTGAAGCGCAAGAATACAGGTCTGTTTCAGCAGTTTCTATGCAGTGCGTTTATATGCACTCAATAATTCGATAACTGCAGAAAATCAGATTTTGTCAGTAATCTGATCAACACGTTTACGTGCATTTGAGTAATCAGATAATGGGGAAACTCTGGGTTTACATGAGTCAGACAGAAATTGGATTTCTGCTTTGCAACCAGCCAATAGACTCACAGAAGAAGACGTGATGTGAATGTAATGTAAAACTCTAACTTAATTTTCTTGTTTGATACATTCAGTTGTTCTGTGTGGTAGAAATGCTATTCATGATAGAAAGTGTATAATGCCATAATTTATCACAGTAAAGCAAAATGTGTAGCTTGCTTTTCGTTGAACTATTGAAAGCATTCTAAAAATGTTCACATAGTCTTGATTACAGAAATTATTTTAATTGTTAATTGTTTGAATATGTGCAGTTCATGGCTAAATTCCACTATTGTGTCTGTGGTCTACATGTTTGAAATCTATAGAGACTTACATGTCATTCAGAATAAATTTTTCTGTTTTTCCTATTTCTTCTTTAGTTCCAGTTACTCAATGGCTGCTCTCGAGTTTGAAAAGGAGCATGAGATTGGACCAGTATATGACTCTCCCAGAATGTCCAGACGAAGCCTAAAATTGCACACCATGAGAGGTCTCTGTGGCAACAAATGCCTTTCAGTGCACTCCCAAAATCACAGTATGAGCCACAGTAGAAGCACAGATTTTAAGAAGTGGTAAGCGCAAAATTCGTAACAGTTGGCATGGTCTGTCTCAAATAACATATTAGGAAATCAAGCCACAAAAGCACATTGAGACATATTTCTTCACATCAAAGATTAAATCAAGAGTAATTTATAATTTTAGGGCAGTAAAACAATTAAAATAATTAATCATGATTATTTGTGTTCTTTTTGAGTGTTAATCATAAATAATCATATTTGTCTTATTTGTCCAAATTCTTCCTTAAAGAGAGATTTGTTTCCAATTAATAAGCAATAATATTCATTATTTAATTGAAAATCATGTGAACGCAGGGTAAATGTGAAAATAAGGTGAATGCAGTTTCTAAATTTCTTCAACTTCTTCTGTGAGCAACATGGCGGCCTGTTGCAACCATATATACAAATCAGGGGTTTCAACTCTTCCACAGTTGTAGGCCTCTCGCTCTCATACTTCTATATTACATCTTATTTCGAACTTTCTACTTTGTTGCTCATTGATTTATCCATAGTTCTCTTGCAGAGTAGTCTTTTTAATTACTAATATTGCTGGCATCACAGGTGTGTTTTTAGCTTGTAAAATGATACTTCAGGCTCAGTGTGCTTTGGTGATAAACAAATTCACTGCATTCCACTAGCTGGACCTTGGAAAGGATCTGGAGAGGTTCTTTTTGGACAAATGGTCTCAGAACCCTTGCCATGTGTTCTTCAGTATCATTAAGCATTACAGGAGAAGTCGTAGAGCTGCAAAGGGAGGCTGCACAAAGTATGAAATGAAGGGGTACCAATGATTGTGGCACACATAGATATAAGAAAAATATTTGTTTCATGATAAGACTTAGTTTAATCATTGTACTTCAAATAAACGTCAGATTTTGCATAAATATTTTCTATGTATTTGTACAAGGTCTTAGTGCCACAGCAATTGTGTATTTATATGTTTACATACAAAAGCAGCAATCATTGCAAAGTGATAAAATAGAAACAGACACACCTAGCATGAAAATAAAACACACACTCATAGTTACACAAATAACATGAGTACCTACATATTTATATGTTAATTTATATGTATATTTATCCTCTGTTTAATTTCAAAATTTGTATATTCTCCAGGTCTGTAAGAAACAGAAAGGAGCAGAAGTGTCGGAATCAGATGCTACAGTCCAGAACTGCCCTTCTGAGCCACAGCTGCATAGGTCAGTAAGCTCTGTTGAAGTTAACTCAGTGAGCGGTTAATCTGAAACCACTAATCAGAGATTAATAGCTGTGTTCTGCAATGTTCTTTGAGATAGAGCTTAGTAGAATGTCTACAATGATTGACTACAGAGCAATTAGTGAAGCAGAATAACTGTAAGCTAGGCACGTAATTCTTCTAATGCCGCTAATTAGTCTCTAGAGGTAAGGTGTGTGGTGAGTGATTTTAGCTATTAAAATTACTCTTCTTCAAGGTTATTCTTCGTTTTTCTTTACGGTAGATTTTCCTAACCATGGTCCCCCTGCCTGGCACACTTAACTCTTTTTCTGCTCCTAACACTCTTGATCCAACTATTCAGTTGATTAACAAGCCCTACCTGAGTCAAAGTGCATGTGTTAAAGCAGAGAAAACACCAAAATGTGCAGAACAAGGGGCATTTCAGGACCAGGAATCTTTTTCAACTGTTAGTAAGGCTAATATACTGATCTCACTGTGGTTTATATTTGCAATAAAATATTTTAGGAGCTATATTACACAAATAATGACAGCAGAGAAAAATGTGTCTTTTGTGGATTGTGTTCATAGTAGTTCTGCTCTTGTTGCATATACACTCACCGAGCAGGTTATTAGAAACACTATACTAATACAGAATAGGGTTTTTCTAGCTCTCAAAGCACACTCAATTCTTGAGGGCATAGATTTTACAAGACGTTGGAATCATTCCTTTGAGATTCTGGTCCATGCTGACATAATTGCATTTTTTTTCAGATGCACTTTCATACTGCGAATGTGCTGTTTTACCACATCCCAAAAGTCATGTACTGGATTCAGATCCAGTGACTGGGAATGCCACTGAAGAACATTGAACCCATTGTTATGTTTGTGAAACCAGTTTGAGATGACTTTTGCTTTGTGACATGGTGCAATATCATGCCGGTAGTAGCCATTAGGAGATGGGTAACTTGTGGGCATTAAATAGTAACTACACCCTGAGACCTTTTTTTTCATTAACAGTTGAACAGCTGATGCACTGCTGTGTAATAATAAAATACCAGCCTTGCTTAAAATGTGAACACATCTTTCCTAACTGTAAAAATATCATTTTTATTGTGGTCAGTTCCACCTCTGCAGCGCCCCTCTGGTCAGCTCTGCTATAGGCGCGGATGACGTGTCTTGGTACCGAAGTACCATGAAACATCACTGTATACAAATCGGTCAACCAGTACTACCACCCCCAGACGATGCACTACTTGTGCTGTGCTCATAAATATAAAAGCATAAGAGCCTAGAGCGAGGAGGTAATCAGACTCAAGCGCTGAGCTAAATACCCTCAGGATCTGGAGACGTTCAGTAAATAACCCAATTAATCTAAGCTTAGGTTGTAATAAAGATGTTGGACCAATTAAGTGAGGATTCTTGCAAGTCTCTATAAAACTGCCAGTCTTGCATCCAATTCACATTTCCCTTTACAACGCGCGCTCGCTGAACAGACATCAACGGCAAGCAACACGTGAACTCTGGAAAGCGAAACGGTTCGCTGCTAATCATTTTCTGGCACTGTGCTAACTCTTGGGCAGCTTGAGTTAGTGGCTCGTACTATTAAGGCTCAAGACGCACCGCCTGATCAGAAACGCCTTCCCTCGTCGAAGATGAGGATGGGAGTAGAGAAAAATAGTCAGCATCGTTAAGACCTCTCAGTTGCACAAGTGTTTGATTCTGTCACCCTCCATATTTTCTGGTAGCTAACGTATGCTATCTCTAGAAACACAGCAGCCCAGCCCATCCTGTATCTCTCGCAGCCCCATCTCCAAACCTGTACATTACTGCAGTGCCCCTCCCAACATGCCCCTCACATTTTTGTGAATTTTTCACAGTTGAGTCAATGGTGGAGTTAGCTGAAAATAGTGATGTGTACTCTTTAAGGAATGTACATGGTCAGCAGCAATACTCAAATAGGCTGTGGCATTCAAGCGATGATTTATTGATACTTATTGCACCATTCTGAGTAAACTCCAGAGACTGTTAAGATAAGATAAGATAATCCTTTATTAATCCCACAACGGGGAAATTTGCGGTGTTACAGCAGCACAGAAGACAGAGCAGCAGGAAATATACAAACAATATATAAAATAGAATAAACAATAAAAATATAAAGATATATGTGTATGTACAAAAATTACAAGAAAAATATACAAAGTATTAAATTTAAATTTAGAAATGTAGAAATGTATGTATTGTAGTGAGTATTGCACAGTGAATAAAATAGCAAATAAATAAACAGTAATAAATGGAGAAATATTGCAGTTGACATAATTGCACATAATGGTGGTAAACATATTGACAGTGATCCGCAGTGAATATACTACGCATGGTGGATTGAGATATTGCACACAGTAAAGTGCTGTGGCAGTGATGTTGAGAGTTCTTGCACATGGAAAGTAATTGTAAACTACTGTCTACTGAGTGCCGTGACTGTTATAGAGTCTGACAGCGGCTGGGAGGAAGGACCTGCGGTATCTCTCCTTCACGCACCGCGGGTGCCGCAGCCGGGCACTGAAGGAGCTGCTCAGTGCTGTCAGAGAGCGGTGCATGGGGTGGGACAGGTTCTTCAGCATGTTTGTTAGTTTAGTCCTCATTCTCCTGTCCCCCACCACCTCCACTGGGTCAAGAGGACATCCCAGGACAGAGCTGGACTTCCTGATGATCTTATTCAGTCTCTTCCTGTCAGCAATGGAGATGCTGCTACCCCAGCACACCACTCCATAAAAAATGGCTGATGCCACCATGAAAATCCCAGGAGAGCAGTGAGTGTAAAAATTTTCGAAACAGCCCATCTGGCACCAACGGTCATGCCATGGTGAAAATCACTGAGATCACATTTTTTGCCCCATTGTGATGATTGATGTGAACATTACCTGAAGCTGCTGACCAGCTGCCACATGATTGGCTGATTTGATAATTGTATGAATGAGTAGGTGTACAGGTATTGCTAATGAAATGCTTGGTGAATGTATATCATAATTAATCTTGTCTTATTCTGCTTTTTATGTTTCTAGGGCAAAGTAAAAGGTCAGAGCTAAGTTACTCCTCTGTTAATGGTGCTGTTGGTATGACACATACACACAGCACATTGGAGAATGACTACATCTGTAAAGACTGCTCCATTCATGCAGAGAGGGAACAGACTCTCACGGCGCATTCTGTATTATCTATCGCATCTTCATCCTCAGCATCTCATTCAGAAGATATTGTGGCTGTCCTCTCATCCCGTTCATCTGTGTACAGCTTAGACAAGAATCATTGGCACAAAAGAGGTAAGCCTGTGCTGCAGAGAATATCTCTACTCATAACACTGATGTTTGGCAAGCATCTGCCATACTCAGAAGTAAGTCACATTGAGTATCAGGCTCATGTGTGCTCATCTGAAATTCAAACTGTTATTATTTTAAGACTCTAACAGCGTTCTTTTAGATTTTCCAAAAAAGAACGTCTCTACTCTTTCCACAGGTGAACAACCATGAATGAGTTTTTTTCCCGTAATGTCTATGGCTCTTTGTCTGAAAGGTTTCATTAGCAGTAGACTTAACTTTATTTTAATGACTTTTAATTAATTAATTAGTGATCCTATTCCATAAGTTGTTCCTTTGAGGCCACAAGGCCAAACACCGTGAAAGCAAAGGTATAGGCAGTGAGAATGCTTATCTTTGTGGTTTTCCTTTTCCATGGTAGCTCTTGCTGAAGTTTGTCAGTAGGGGCGGTTCCATCTGAGTGATGTTATGAGAAAAAAGTTTTAACGTTTTGAGATTTCTGAGAATATAAACAATGGAAAGGGCAGTTACTGCAAATATTTTACAAAAATCAACAAAAAACTCTGATTTTGATTGATTTTTAATTGATTCTAGGGAATTAATTGTATTGATAATTTTTTTGGTAAACTGTAGTGGAAATGGTTTTGATAAAAAAAAAAATAATAATAAACAAAGAAATTTGTCATCCTTATCAGTAGGCTGTGGAAACATCAGGGAATCCAAATAAAATGTATACATAACTTGCAAAATAAATATATTTCTTGATGGAAGTTATGCAAATCATGGTTGTGTGCCTCAGAAAGTGCCTTATTATCCAAATAGTCATGCTGATACTTCCACTGTGTTTGGCTTCTTTTAGCTACACCCTAAGATGTTTTTTTCAGTAACAGCTGAAATTCATTGCTCTGTAATAAGAAAATGTACCAGCCTTGCTTGAAATGTGAACACATCTTTCCAAACTGTAAAAATAACATTTTTATCGTGGTAAGTTCCAACTCTGCAGCGCCCCTCTGGTTCAGCTGTGCTATAGGCACGGATGATGTATGCAGTACACAGTATGCAAATCAGTCAACCAATGTTACTGCCCCTTGATGACACCATACTCGCATCGCACTCATAAATATGAACGCATAGGAGCCTAGAGCAAGGATGTAACCATACTCACGTACCCAGCTAAATACCCCTAGCACCACCTCACAAAGTTGCGATATGCCAGATGTCGGTAACATCTGTATACAAACATACATCTTCTAAACCGCTTATCCTTCTGGGTCGCGGTGGGGTGCTGGAGCCTATCCCAGCTGTCATCGGGCAGAAGGCAGGATACACCCTGGACAGGTCGCCAGTCCATCACAGGGCGGTAACATCTGTAAATAACCCAATTAATCTAGGCCTAGTTTGTAATAAAGATGTTATGATTAGCACATTTATTGATAATGTCCAACGTATAAGTAGGTAATCTGAAGGACTGTTTATGTGAGAGGTCTCCATATAGCTACCAATTTTGCATCCGATTCACGTTTCCCTTTACAAATCAAACCCTCAGGCCTCACTGAACAGAAATCAACGGCAAGCAACACTGGAACTACAGAAGTGAAAAAGGTTTAAGAAAAGTTAACGTTAAATGGCAATTGTTACTGACTTAACTTTTTGTCTGTACAGCCTTTCTTAAACTTTTTTTCTCTTTCCATAGTTCCAGTGTTGCTTGGCATTGATTTCTGTTCAGTGAGTGCACATGCCCAAGGGTTTGATTTCTGAAGGGGAACGTGAATTTGAGGGAAACTGAATCGGATGTAACACCGGTAAGTGCCATGAACAGTTTCCAGAATGTAAAGATTTAGGGCCACTGCAGCAAACCCTAGATGTCAAGTGATGCAGTCTGCGACCCCAACCTGGTCAATCTGTGCACAGCCATGCTAAAAGATAGGTTGTGATGCTGTCAAGACCTAGCTTAGGCTACAAAGGTTGGGTTATCTTTTTTCTGCATAAACTTTTAACATGCATCAGCCAGCACCCTACTGAATGAAATGAATGAAGCTTAGACAGTCTTTAAAGAAATTCACTTTATTTATCCAGAATTCAGTACATTTAAGAAATCAGGGCTCTGATTATGTTGAATGTGGACCTGCTTAACAGATAATTAGAAGCTAGCTGTCACAGTTTTAGGGAATGTTCTACCATTCCATCGCCTCTCCTTCTCGCTGTTAATCATTTTCTGGCACTGCATTAATTCGATAGCTTGAGTCAGTGGCTCATACTGGTAGGGCTCAAGACACACATAGTACATAGTAGCAGAAAAAAATCGTCAGCCTCGTAAGACCTAAGTCACTCTCCATATTTTCTGGTAGCTGACACTAGCCATAAAAACACAGCATCCCAGCCCATCCGGTTTCCCTGCCATCCCAACTTCCAAACCCAAACATCACTGCAGTACCCCTCCCAGCGTGCCCCTTCCATTTTTGAGCATTTTTCAGAGTTGAGCTATAGATGGAGTTAGCTAAGAATAATGGGTCGTAGTTATTCTTTAAAAGTATGACTTAGCCCCCCCCATTGAATTTGTTTTTGTTTGATTGTTTTTAAATTTATTTTACAGTTGGCCTGAGCCTTAGAGGATTTTCTTTACTGTTTTTATGGCTTTCAGAAACCTCTGAACAAGTTACTTGTCAAATGTTAATTTACTTTTTTACGCCTCTGATGTGTGTATTTCAAAGTATTTCTGACTGTGTGTGATGTATCAATGCTGTAGGTCTGCTCCTCTCTGCCTCAGACTCAGTGAGAAGCGTGTGCTCTTGGCTTTTGGCCAGAGGGAATGTGTTAAAGCAGAGCACTCTGTGGAGGATCTGTTACATGGTGAACAGCTACCATACCACAGGTACCACCAGCCATGCCATGGACAATTGCGGGTATCCATTAAAGTCTCCCAAATATCTTTTCTTTCTTTTTTCTCACAAGCCCACAAGGCACCTTCAGATCAGGATATGTCTTCCAAGAATGCATCTCTTCTGTGAAGGGCATCTTATAAATTTAAAAACATTTTAAGAATTGCTTTCAGGTTTAAAGACAAAATGTTTTTGCATTTTTTTGCATTGCATTTTTCTTCAGATAAACATGTTTTAACTAATTCGACATAATTGTATCTTAGGAATCCTTGAAAACCATAAAAGTGGTGCAGTAATTTTGTTTTGAAACGTTAACAATAAAACTGTGACATAGGAAAAGATATGGACCCAGAAGACCTTTGTGATTGTGTATAAACATAATGTATGGGACAAAAAGGTTCTATGTCAAATGATATAACCTCAGGAAAAAAATGATAAAAATTAAGTTGTCTTTTCCTTTAACTGTTCATCTAATTGTTCGTCTTATTGTTATTTTTCTTATTAAGAATACTGTTACTGTTCTTTGTGAGTTACTTATTAAGTTGATCCATAAAAATGACATTCAAAAATGAAAATCTTCCCCCTGGAAATGATGGAATGTTTAGAACATTCAAACTAACTGCCACAAGTGATGTCACAATGCACGTCTCTCACAAAGACACTCATACACAGTACACACATACAACCTAATGCACAGCAATAATAGTAGTGATAACAGTAACAACTAAAATAATACCATAATTACAGAAATAAAACAGTAATAGAACAGTTATAACAAATAAAACAGTAACAGTACATTCTCAACACACTATGCACCACACACTCAACGTGCCACACACACTACACATTCAACACACAACAAACACACCACACACACATACACACCACATAGACACACACACACACCACACAAACACCCCAAACACAAACCATACACCACACCAAAACCACACACACCAGGAACACACCACACATACACAAATATACATGACACACACACAGATCACAAACATACCACACAACAGACAAACGCACTCCCCCATACACACGCTCAACATACCATAAGGTAGCAAGAATTTTAAGATAACAGGGAATTTAAGGTAGCAGTGTACATAAAGTACAAGTGAATTTAAGGTAGCTGGAGATTTAAGGTACCAGTGTACAATAGATTAAGGTAGCAGTGGATTTAAGGAGGCATTGGATTTAAAGAGGCATTGGATTTAAGTGACCAATGGATTTATTGTAGCACTAGATTTAGGTGCCAGTGAATTTGAGAAAGCAGGAGATTCAAGGTGGCAGTGGATTTAGGGTACCAGTAAATTTAAGGTAGTAATAGATTTAAGGTAGCAAGAGATTTAAGGTTTAAGTGGATTGAAGATTCCATTGGATAAAGTGGATTAAAAATGGGTTCACACTTTCCCTTTCTAGTTATTTTACTTCTTATTATTCTATGCTCAAAAAGTAAATGCTACTCCTCCTACAGCTTTCAAGCTACACCTACCAAACCTTGCAGGATCATAGATCCAATACCCGAGATATGTTTGTTGTTACAATGTCAACACAGATCAGACGCTCACAGGAAGGTCTTGGCTATACTTTGCAAATTACTAAGCTAAATCATGGGCTTTATATGCAAACTGACTAATGGAGTGTAATGACAAACAGTTGTGACAGCTTAGAATTTGGTGAGGAGAAATGCTGAAATGAATGTTCATTGGTTGATGGCAATGGGATGAGAGTCACGAGATCTCCAACTGATTCATGGGAGTTGGAGTCCTCTAGATAGTCCATGGACTCAAGTGATCTTGCGAGGGTAAAGGAACAGGTAGAGGAGGCGTCTTTGGCAGGAGGTGTGACATTTGTGCTTTTTAAACCGATCCGATGTGCAGTTTTGTAAAATTATATTTTTACCATAGGAAAATACTGGTGGAATGTTTGGAACATTTCTATGTAACTGCCACAAGTAATGTTACAATGCACATCTCTCACACAGTCATATACAGTACACAGACTCACATGCTTACAACCTAATGCAAAGCAATAACAGCAACAATAATCAATTTAAGGAGGCAGCAAATTTAAGGTAATGGTATTTAAGGTATCAGGAGATTTAAGGTGGCAGTGGATTTCGGGTAACAGTGGATTTAAGGGAGGAGTGGATTTAAGGTGGCAATGAATTTAAAGTGGCAGAGGATTTAAGGTAGCAGTGGATTTAAGGTAACAATAAATTTAAGGTACCAGTGGATTTACGGAGGCACTGGATTGAAGGTAGCAGGAAATTTGAAGTGGCAGTTGATTTAAGCTTTAATTGGATTTAAAGTAACAATAGAGTTAATATACCCATGGATTTAAGGTAGCAATGTGTTTAATAGCATAGCAACCACCTAGCAACACCTTACCAACTACCTTGGATACCATAGCAACTGCCGAGCAACATCTAAGCAACACTTTAGCAACCATCAAAAGTCTTCCACTATTTTAACATTTAAGTGTAGTTAGCTGGCGTTTTCAAGCCAACTTAAAGTTCGTTCACATACTTTCCCTTTCTAGTTAAGTTGTCTTTGAAAAGCCAACTTACTGTTCTTCTTCTCCTTCTTCTTATTCTTATTTTTTTCTACGCTCAAAAAAGTAAATGCCACTCCTCCTACAGCTTTCGAGCTACAGTGACCAAACTTCGCAGGACCGTAGATCCAGTACTCGAGATTTATGCTTGTGCTTTTTAAAAAAATGATTGTTCAAAAACAATATTTCCCCCCCTAGGAAATGAATGGCGGAATGTTCAAGACATTCAAATGTAATTGCCACAAGTGATGTCACAATGTACATCTCTCACACAGACACTCATACACAGTACACACAGACTCACACTCTTACAGTCTATTGCACAGCAAAAATATTGGATTTAAGGTATCAGAAGATTTAAAGTACCAGTGGATTGAAGGTGGCATTGGACCCATGGTAGCAATGGATTTAAGGTCGCAGAACATTTAAGGAAGCAGTGGATTTAGGATTTACATGGATTTAAGGAGGCATTGGATGTAAGGTGGTATTGGATTTAAGGTTGCAATGGATTTAATGTGACATTGGATTTAACATAGCAAAAGACTTAAGGTTGCAAGAGAAATAAGGTAACTGTATTTAAATTTTGTGATTTAAGCAGGTATTGGATTGAAGGGAGCAGTGGATTTAAGGTAGCATTAGATTTGAGGTAGGAGGAGATTTAAGGTGGCAGTGGAATAAAGCTAGCAATACATTTAAGGTAGCAGTGGATTTAAGGGTTAAGTTGATTTAATATACTATTGGATTTAAAGTTTCAATAGATTTAAGGTACCAGTGGATTAAAACTGGAAGTGGGTTTAAGGTAGCAATAGATTTAAGGTTGCAGGAGGTTTAAGGTGGCAGTGGATTTAAGGATGTATTGGATTTAAGGTGGCAGTGGCTTTAAGGTAGAAATGAATTGAAGGTACCAGTGTATTTAATAGCATAGCAGCCAACCTAGCAACTCCAGAGCAACAACATAGGGCACAGTAGCAACACCTTAGCAAACATCAAACACCATTTGAACGTTTAAATGTAATTTAGTGGCTTTTTAAAGTTTGTGCAAAAAGTTTCTTGTTGTAGTTATGAAACTGCCTTGGCACTCTTACAGACAGACAGACAGACAGACAGACAGGCAGACAGATAGATAGATTAGATAGATAGATTTATTGTCATTGCTTAGTACAAGTACAAAAAATGCAGTTAGCATCTACCAGATGTGCAAATAGTAGCAGTGCAACAGTGCAAACAGACAGTGCAAATGTGCAATGATAGGCATAAATATAACACATCTATGAAATATATAACTATATGAACAGTGTATATACAATTGCAAATTTATCTTTGAATATATCAAATATGTATATCTGCATATATACATATAAACATTGTATGAAAATGCTAGAGGTAATACATAAGCATATAGTAAACAATAAATAAACATAATAAATAATAAACATGTTCTGTTACTGTCCTTCAAAATCTTGTAATTATTATTAAATTCTAAACATCTTATTATTAATCTACGTTCAATTTTTGTAAACGTTTCATGGTCCACAGTTTTTGATGCGCAACCACCAAATTTTGCACAAAAGTTCCTCGTATATGGGAATAGTGCACTTGTGCTTTTTTGGCCTGATCCGACATACAGTTTTCGTAAAACATTCGTTCAGTATGAAAATGTTCCCATTGGAAAAGAATGGTGAAATGTTCTGAACACTTACACTGCCACAAGTGATGTCACAATGCATATCTCTCACACAGACACACATACACAGTACACATAGACTCACACGCTTACAGCCTAATGCACAGCAATAACAGTAGTAATAACAGTAGTAATAACAGAAGTAATAACAGTAGTAACAAAACTGAAATGGCAGTAACAGAAATGAAACAGTAATAAAACAGTGATAACAGAAAGTAAACAGTAACAACATTGACAACTAACAATACTTAATCAACACACCCCACACCGCTCACTCAACAGACCACACACCACACACACTCAAAGCACTACACACACATACACACACTCAACACAACATAACACACGCCACCACTGTACACACACTTACCACATACACACACACCACACACTCAACACAAACCACAAACACACCACACACTAATCCCAAACATACCCCACCACATATTTTTCATACACCACAAACACACCACACATCATACACACACCACAAACACACCCCACACTCTACACACCACACACACTCAACACAAGGTAGCATTGTTTTTAGGACACCTGTGAATGTAGGGGAGCAGTGGGTTTAGGGTACCAGTGGATTTAAGATATCGGTAAATTTAAGGTGACAGTGTATTTAGGGTACCAGTGCATTTAAGGTATCAGTAAATTTAAGGTACCAGTGGATTTAAGGTGGCAGTGAATTTAAGCCGTGTAGATTTAAGGGGGAAATAGATTTAAGATATCTGTAAA